CAGATTCAGTGCCATCCTTTGAAATAAATTCTTCTCGGGGGACCCTCCCACCCTGTGCCCAGCCTGGGTCCCCCTCACAGGGCAGTGCTTTCTATTGGGTTTTATATTGGCATTGTTGAATAGATGTCTTGGTTCTCACTGTACGTGGTAAATTCCTTAAAAACAATGGGCAGGGCCTGTCGCAGGTCTTATACTGCACAAGGCTCCCACATCCTTGCGGGAGTTCCCAAGGTCAGAATCACAAGCCCTTCTCTTCTTTGGCAGCACTGCAGTCGCCCATCGAGTATCAGCGGAAAGAAAACCGCACAGCCGGGATGCGGCCCCAGCCCACCAGGCTCCCCCAAGCCAGCCCCAGGCCTTACTCTTCTGTCCCCATGGGCCCTGACAAGCCTCCCAAGGGCTCCAGCGCTGCCCCGCCGCTGCCACCCCTGAAGATATCTACCTCCAATGGCAGTCCAGGGTTCGACTACCACCAGCCTGGTGACAAGTATGAGACCGGCAAGGTAGGTGAGAGCCCATGGTCTGGTCCCGTTCCGTGTCCTCCTTCCTCCCCCCACCACAGCCACCACTGTGAGGACACAGTCTCAGGGGTCGGTTTAGCAAACAGCCTCTTGTGAGACCGGATTCAATAGAGTACAGGCTCGATGCTTTCTCACCCTTCGATTGCGTGAGGCCAGTCCCTGCTGCCTCTGACACCTGTGCTAAAGGTGTATTGTCCCCTGCGGACACGGTACAGATGTAGTAGTGTCACTGTGGCAGCAGTTAGCAAGAGGAGTCATCTTTGCCAAACAGAGCCGTTGTGGTACACAACTCTAGACCTGGCCCTTGTGATGGGAAGGAGCCCTGGAGGTGTAGAGGTTCCACATTGGCCTGCAATCCGCATGGTCAGCAGTTCGAAACCACCCTCAGCTCTGCTGGAGAAAGACCAGACTTTCTACTCCCATACACAGTTACAGTCTCGGAAACCCAAGTGGTCGCTATGAGTCATCATTGACTCAATGGCAGCGAGCTGGGTTTGGTTTGGTAAAGGGGCTACTGAAGTGAGGTTATAGGTCACCACCTTCCTTCTGCTGATGTGGGAGGAGAGAGGTCTCATCCATGTATGGATTGGCAGGGAGCCGACCTTGGATCACATCCTTCTCAGAGATGACCCGTCATCCAGCCAACACCATAAGGAGAGTTGTAAACTTGACCATGGACCCTGCAAGGCAGTAGGAATAAAAGAAGCTGAATTCCATGCTAGATTAATAATTAAGCAATGTGGTTTCCATTCCAAAATCTGTAACTCATTGCTGTCTAAGCTTAGCCAACTGGTTAGTTGCATGAGGTTGCCCTTTCCTCGAGAGCTCAAAGTGGTCATGAATAAGAACGTCTGCATGGTTTACCTACATGGTCTAATTTTAGAGTTTTCTTCTCCTCTTCCTCCTCCTCCTTCAAATGATTAGTTGCCAGTGACGTGGTAAAACTCTTAGTGCCTAAAATCAGTGCTATGGGGGGGGGGGGGCTTCAAAAAGTTCCTAGGGAAATCCCATCATCTGTAATCCCAGATTTCCACAAAAGTGTTTGAAGCCCTTTCTTGTCTGTTAGGGTCCCAACCTATTTCATTACATCCCCTAGAAACGATTTTCTTCCTTAAATCCCCTGACCCATTGTGAGTCAATTGAAGTCACTGCGACATAGACATATTGAGAGCCTGCTGGCTCTCCCCATGCCCTCTGAGCAAGAGGCTGCCCTAATACCTCACTGCTGTCCTGGTGCCAACGCACCGGACAAGGTGGGAGATGCAGCACCTCTCGGAGTTCAGGGCCCGCCTGGGGCTGGGTCAGTGGAGGCAGCGGCCTCACCTTCGGATGGGCCAAAAGACCAACCTCACTGTTGGTGTGGACTCACCGTCTGGGAGGGAGTGGGTCCTTCGCTTTGGCTGTAGAGAAAACCCGAGACCCAGCCTTCTTGTTTGTGTGCCCCTCCCACCCCACCCATCCTGTCCTCCTAGCCAAACGACCTGGGAGGCAGCGACGGGAACATCTCCATGGCGGTCATTCAAGACTACTATGCACTGAAGGAGAATGAAATCTCTGTGAGCCAAGGCGAGGTGGTCCAGGTCCTCGCCGTCAACCAGCAGAACATGTGCCTGGTGTACCAGCCTGCCAGCGACCACTGCCCCGCCGCCGAGGGCTGGGTCCCAGGCAGCATCCTGGCGCCGCTCACCAAAGCCACGGCGGCCACTGCAGAAAACAGTGATGGGAGCATCAAGTAAGTGCCTCCGTGGCTTCCCCGGGAGAGGAGAGCGTGTGTTGTAAACTTTCCACAGCAGAGCGAGCGCAGGGATGCACGCACGGCACGGTGCAAGCACACGCTGCAGGGAGCCCCCGCTGCCCTTTCGCCGCAGTGCTGGGGGGACAGAAGCCCCTGTGCAGGGACCTTGCGCATGGCACGGGCATCCCCTCGGGCTTGCCCTGGTGGTGGTGGTGGTGGCGGCGGTAGGGGTTTCCCTTTCCTTTCCGTTTATGATTTTCTGTTCATTTTTTTTCTCTCTTTTTCCCCCCCTCATTCATTAAGAACCGAACCCTACTGAGGCCCTAGGTGACCATGCCTTCCGTTGCTCCATTTGACCTACCACAGGACTCACTGGACTGGACTTCTATTTATGTTGTATTAAGTGACTTCTCTCTATATATTTTTTACCGACACCAAAAGGTTACCTTAGCACAAATGCCAAGCCTGCCCGGGTCACAGGCCCGCTGCTTCTCCCACGAGAGAGGGACGTTTTTGGTTGTGTGTGGCAATTTTCTCTGTACAGATTGTAACTTGTTTTTTTCCTTAAAACCTTCCCCCGCTCCCCATCACGTTAATATATGTTCATGGTCCTTTGTAAGATATTTCTTTTCCTTCCTTTGATTGCGAAGACCCTTCTGAACACATTCCTGTGTAAGATACTTTGCACTATTTAAAGACAACCGTATGGATAAAGTCAGGTTGTGCAATATATTGAAGAGTCACAGTGGTCATCATTGTACCTGTCATGTAACTAATAACTTTAAATGTACTATTTTAAATATGTAAAATAAATTTTCACCATGAGCATGTTTTAATGAGCTGAAAGACACGTTGACCCGCCCCCGCCCCATTTCACTCCCCTTAGACTTTTAAATGTACAGGGGATTCTCCCTCCTTTTGTTTTTCCCTTTCCTTCTCTGTATTTGAGGAGTCACTGACTGCGGGGGCAGTTTCTTCAGACTTAAAAAAGCGCCTCGGTCGCCAAAGCGCCCATCCTAGCCTTCCCTTCCACCGGTCTAACTAACCTCGGAGATGAGGCTGGTGCAGACTGCATGCTGCTCAGCTGGTCCCCGCAACTGGCGACCTGAGCCACTGACGCCAACTACTGCCCAGACTGGACCCCAGGGTGTGGCCCGGCTCTCCGTCTCCGGCCTGGGTGGTCACACGGAGGAGGCTGAGCTGAGCGGGGCACCCGAGGAAGCGCGTCTGTGGCCATTTCTTCAGGGCCGGGGCTAGAGGCTACTTCGCATGGCCCTGGCCTCCCTAGGTCGCCACACACACCCTGGTCGCTAGGGGTCCCTGAAACGTAGCAGGCCCCTTTCATCTTAATCTAAAGACATTTGTTTTCAAGTGCCTTTTAAGAAGCCCAAGCCTTTGGAATGAAGTCCTTGACCATACTGAAGTTCTTGCTAATCAACAGCCTTCAAGAGCCAAGACCTAGTGACTCTGAGCTGTTGATCCAGACCCTCTGGCACTTCCTTCCCCTCATCTTTAATCTTGGGGTCTCTTGTCAGTTACACTTACCTTCCAGGTGAACGTGGGGTGTCAGGAGGAGTGAAAGAAAAGAGACTCCAGTGCCGATTGGCCAGTATGTTCCACCTTAGTTGCTGTTGCCCACGGGTCAGGGGGTGGAAGGGAGCAGAGGAGTCAACTTGGCTGCCAGTACTTACAAGTGAAGGACACCCGGCACACATTCCCCAAGGGCCTGCTGTGACCAAGGGGGTCAGAGTTGGTGGTGATGCCTACTGGATAACTGTCCCTGAAAGCCCGTTCCCACATCAACCCAGGACTGTGGCCCAGAGATGGAAGTTCCCCAAACCATAATGATGGGTTCTTCTGGGAAGAAGAATATGAAGTTGAGCTGTTGGGCCACTTCACCTTCTGTTTCTCCCTTGTGAGCATTTTTTAACATCTCTAGTCCCTTACCAAGGATACCCAACAATCCAGAGGTGGTAATACACACAGGAACACGTGCACACACACCATCTGCCTTGGGAGTATTTCCGATAGAGACTTCTCCGACACGGGATAGTCTCAGAAGGATCTGGGGACTTGGAATTTGGGGTGGTAAAAAGAAGAGATGAAAGTCTGAAGTTAACAGAGTTAGGGCGTGTGAGGTTAACTGCATGACCAGTTCTCACTCAGATCAGATCAGTGGAATGCAGGGGGTCCTAAAGAACGCACCAGTTTAGTTGCAACGAGAGAAGCTCTTGCCTTTTGAAGGAAGCAACTTTCCCAAAAGATTCAATGTTTGCAATGGCTTTTTTTTTTTTTTTTTTTTTTAACCCAGAAGGTTAATTGTTGAGCAAGCATGCTAGGGATAAGTATATGGGGAACACCTCACGGGCACCCTCGTCCTGAGATGGGTAGACTTTGGTGGAAGAGACGCTGTGCCCTTCTCCCTCAATGAAGGCTTTTTGTGGGTGTGGAGCCCTGTCTTCTCAGGCCTGAACTTGACCAGAAGATGCTGAAGACAAGCCACGTCTCTTATTGCAGACAATAGTTAACACGCACCCCCACCCCAAACCGTGTGGCCACGCTGGAGATGGATGAAGCCCACCCAGGGTCACTGATTCTGTTTGTGGCATGGGTTGTTGGTTTCTTCATCCTTGGGCCCCAACACATGGAACTCGAGCTCCGTGCTGCGCTGCCTTTCACAGGAGTGTGAAGAAGTAGCTCCCAGCCCCCTGGGGGAAGGAAGATGTTAGGAAGACATGACGGGGTTGGTTGCCCCTCTCAGCTCCCTGGGAGCAGGTATTGGGCCTTCTCCCCACGAGAAGACTCTAAGGCCTCTCACGGGCTGACCGAGCCACGGCATCACAAACTGAGTGGTGTGGAGTACGTAGACCAAGAAACCCTCAACTCTAAAATACCCAGGCAAAATGATGGTGCTTGGCTGTTCATTCCATCAAATACCCCAGAGAATCCTGTCCCTTCTGCGGTGGGTGGGAGTGGCCACAGTCCAAATCTGAATAAGGAGATGAAAACCCATAAGCCATCCTTTTGGGTGTATCTGGGCCTGGGAAGGTGTGTTGCCAGTACCCTAAGCCTTGTAGAACACACCTCCTCTGTCTCCTGTTCAGCACTCTTGCCTCCCCACCTCCCACCCTGCCTCTATCTTCTGCATGCCTTTCAAGAAGGGAGTCCCCAGTCCTAAAAAGCCTCATCGGCATGGCATTAAAAACATCCCTTGGTGAAGTTTAGTAACCCAGGACACCCCTACTGTCTTCAGACCCAGCCACACAGCCTAGCACAGGTAGCAAGTGAGGTCGGCGTTCATCCGCATGCTCTTCGGTCGGAGGGAGGTCAGCCCCCTGCCACGGTGGGAGCTGGCCCACAAGTGTGAGGCCTCCAAAGCTTGAGCTTGCTTGGAGCCCCTCACGGACTGGCTCACCCCAGGGTGGTGAGCCCTCCCTGCCAGCGCTTGCCTCTGCCCCGACGTGCCGTTTGATTGGTGCATTTCTTGGTACAACAGGAAGTCATGTTCATGGCACACCCTACGCATGAGAAAGCGGGCAGACGTGGAGAACACGGGTAAACATGAAGCCACAGGGCCTCGTAAACCCAAGGATATTCTGGGCAGCAAAGCCTCTGTTAAAGTGAGTAAGGTGTCCGGGAGCTGCGCCCCCCACCACCCCCTCACCCACTCCCACCAGCCAACGCCAGGGGAGGGGAATTCTTTTTCCCTAAACCAGTTCGGGACCCGAGGGGAAGTAGTTTAGCAGGATTTTTGCATGCCGGATCAATTTTTATTTTATTTTAAATTTTCGGTTTCTCCTGGCAACTTGGACTCAGGTAAGTACAGTTCTGTTTTCTCTCACACCTTTCTCCCGAGACTGTGCCGATGTTTCTTAGTAGCCTTGCCTGCCGCGTCCTCCCCTTAGAAGTGCAAGATGCCCAAGTCAAAGCACCCATGCTCTCCCCGAGATTTGAGAATAAGACCTACAGTCCCCTCGCCTCTCCCTGCACGTAGACAGGGCGCAGAGGCATGTAAATTAAACCCAAGTCATTTCTCTGTAAGACTCCACCTACTACTCTGGACTCGCTAAGTATTGGTTGACCCTTATTTCCTCTCCCCCGCTCCTCCTCAGCGCCCCAGCATCTGACCATGAAGTACTCTGCTGTGACATTGGGCCCTGAACAATGGGAATTAGACAGCTGGCTGTGTAATGTTGTTAAAACGTGTATTGGTGTACATGGCCCTTTCCTCCCCTTCCTGGGCACAAGGAGAATAGCTGAAACCCATTTGAGCATCCTCCTATGGGGAGGGGGGGGATCGCACTCCCTCTGTCACCCTCACTGGGAAGTCCAGCCTCACAGAAGACAGCAGGTTCAAGTCTGCGGCCCCCATGCTTCATGGGGTTGCTCGCATTGCTGCCTCCTGCGAGACCCGCGGGTGCACTGACCCCAGCCTTCTCCCCTTGGAAAGAGCACGTTGCCGCCCTTGGTGGTTCGCACCCCGCCTTTGAAGTGCCCGGTGTTTTCTCTGCCCCGGTTCCCTGCTGCCCATGCTTTTCTGCGGCTCTCCTCTCTCGCCGGCAAGAGCTACTTGTGTTCTAACTGTGTTCTCTCTCTCCCACTTCCTCATGCTGCCAACCCAGGAGACCAACAGCTCCGAGGAGTCCGAGTGCGACGATCTTGACCCTCAGACTAGCATGGAGGTAGAGCAGCTATGGTCCTATTGCCTGAGTAACTGTTGGGGCTGGTTGGTTTTTAGCATGCGCTGTCATGGTGGTCTTCCTAAAATGACCAGCCGGCCGCGGGTGAACTGTGATACGGGGACATCTCTGGGCATCCGTCCCATCCTAACTAAAAGCAAACGAAACTCGTTCCATTCGGCTCCATGTTGGTAGACAACGCTTAACAGCAAACGCGTTCTTTTGAATGTTCGCTCTGTACTTCCCTCTGAGAGGGCGTGGTTTTGTGTGGAGAATATCCAGCTTCATTGGGGAACCCTAGAGCCCCCGCCCTTTCTTAAATTTTCATGGAAGACAGCCTTACGTATACAGATTGACTTCCAGCCAAAGGGCAGGAAGAACTCCTTCGGGTTTTCGTTTCGTCCCCTTTTGCTCTCTCCTTTCTCTGCCCTCTCGTCTTCCCCTTTCTCCTCTCATCTTGTTCTTCTCCTCGGGCCGACTCCTCCCTAAATCGTCCAACAGCATGGCCAAAATGTGCTTTTGTGGATGACTTCTATGTTAGTCCGGGTTGACTAGAGAAACAGATTCATAGATACTCACATGCATATAAGAAAGAGCTTTATATAAAGAGTAATTGGACATTAAGAAAACATCCCAGCCCAGTCCAGATCAAGTCCATAAATCCAATACTAGCCCATATGTCCAGTAGCAGTCTGTAAATTCCTCTTCAGACTCATGCAACATATGCAATGACACCGAGTGCAGGAAGATCACAAGCCAATGGGTAGAAAGTCTTGTGGACCCAGTGACAGTGGAAGCATCTCAGTGCTGGCGTGGGTCTCCACGTGGCTCCTCCAGCTCCAAGGCTCTGGCTGCCATCAGCATAGCTCCATGTGGCTCGTCGACAGGCATGTCTCTTAGGAAGTGAATGTGTCCTGCCACCAGCAAGCTATTTATCTCCTTAATGACTCCAAATGAGGTCATCAAGCTGCGACCTGATCAACAGGCTAAACCCCACCCCTTCACTCAATAGTCTGAAGCTGACACCAGATTATGTTAATTACCACAACTTTGCACCCACCTAGGCCCTAGCCACACACCCCTGCCCTGGCCCCAGAGTTCGCCACAGTGGCTGTGCCCACCACACGAGGGGAACCAAAAGCCCTG